ATGGAAATAGAGAAGCTGAAATCCTAAGGGATCAACACCTTTGTGTTCTGATGCCCAGAGAAATGCCTGCTTGGAGGTGTGCCCTCTTCCCAGGGACTTCACTCTTCTTCTTTACTCTCTTTTATTCCTTTGTTTGATTGTTTTGCATTTTGCAGATATCAATGAATGCATCACTGGGACACACAACTGTGGGATTGGACAAACRTGTGTGAACACTTTGGGATCGTTCCGCTGCCAGCGGGACACGAGCTGCGGCACGGGCTACGAGCTGACAGATGACAGTCGCTGCAAAGGTGAGTCCTGTCAGGAGAGCCACGATATTCCAGGCTCAACTTCAAAACTAAACCCATCATGATGTCCTCCTCTTTTGCTTTTGGTAAATACTCATGTGACCGAGACACACACAGCTTCAGGGACAGCAGTTTTTCCATCTGTCACCTTGCAGATAACCAGATCAGGCAGCTGGGGGCTGCTGCAATGATTCCAGGAGAGAAATCTGTATTTTACACTCTCAGTTTGTGTTGCATGTTAGGAGCTGCTCTGGGCACTGAAACAGGTGATTATGGTGGCCCAGCACTCACACTATACACACTTTCCTGGGGATTTTTTCTGGCCAGCTCCAGTCTGGTCTGGGGAATTGATTACTTGTTAGTGAGTGGAGTGCCTGAGTCCTGCTCCTGGAGCRTATCTGATGGTTTAATTGCACCTGAATGGATCAAGTTTGCACACTCTGGAGTGTGAAATAAAGGGTGGTGAGTGGAGCAGCCAGGTGATTCTGTTTGAAAATGGGAAGGTAGATGCATATTTAGAGAAACAAAGTGAGCTTTTATCCTTAGGAGGTTTAATTTGTTACRAGAGGATTCATTTCTTAATCACAGCCTCCCTAGGGATTTAAAAATGTAAAGGGGCTAGAACACAAAGGTCACAGTCTTTYTTACTAAAAAAGGCTTTCTTACTCAAATTCCTTATCTATTTCAAATTCCAAATCTARCTCAAAGAATGCTGAATGTGCATCCATTACTTCAGCTGACACACTGCCTTTACAGAGATCTAAATTAGCAGCAAACTCCAGTTGATGTGGAATTGTTTTTCACTATGAGAAAGTCTGTTCCTCCCAATCTTACAATGGTTTATTCATAAACTAATTTCATTACACTGAATAGATTAACTCAGCCAAAATTCTGGGTAAGGTTTTACTGTAGGAACAGATCAGTGATGAATAATAAATAGATTTAATAAAAAGGCTGATGAGCGAACTCCAATGCAAAGCCTACAGAATATCAGACAAGGTTTTTAAAGTATCGTGGTGTAACTGTAATCACTTCGGAGTAACTTTTCTGCTGCTTTGAATGACATCAGATTTAGGCCAACAATTAGCTTACTGGCAAGTATTAGCATCTTTCTCTGTTGGAAAAAAAGGAGTACAGATAGAAAATGATGCATGCCACTAATGTTGGAAAGTTCTTATCTGGATATGTTAATAGCCTTAATTATTRATGTTATGTTAATAGTGATAAAAATAGAAAGCTAATAGCCTTCATGTAGGATTTTTAAATGACAAGTAACATGACTGAGTAGAACCATGCAGAGCCCAGTTCAGTATTAACCCAACCTAAACTTCAAATGGGCTCCATAGTAATTTTTTACATCCCACAAAGCTCTAAGGCTACTTTTGTATCAACTGCATGAATGACATAGCTGAGGAATCCCATTGCTGGAGAGTTTCTGTACTTTGATAAGCTTTAGGGGATTTCACCCCATTGCCAGGTGGCAAATATAACGTTTTAGTTTCTTTTATGTACATTTGTGAGTGAAGTTTTATTTGYCGTTGTCTTCTCTATCTGCTTTATCTGAATAATAATTAATTCACAAATATTTATTGTCTATTCTGCACTGGAGTGGAATATTAAAGTAACCAGAAGTCACATTTATGTGYATTTTAAAGCATGATAATGCATGATATTGAAAACCTTAATATGGATGGGAATCAAGACCAATTAATTCACTTATGAAAGAAATTAACAATGTCTGCGTTGGATCTAAGGTTAAAATKAAAATTGCACTTGGGGAATTGAATCTTCCTGAATTTAAATCCAAGCACAGTGCTACATCCAGGCTGAGCAGTGCTGAGCGTGATGCTTTAGGTGCTCTGGAATGGTTCTGAAACATTTAATTGTGAGAACTAAACTTTTAAAGCATAATACACAGGGGCACACCCCTATCTATAATATCAATAATTAAACAGTAAAACAATCTTAACCTAGCTGGTTTACTGAGATCTTGTTTGAGGCAGTAAGTCAGTTTGATCCTGGATCACAGAATTCCAGGAGGGTATGCTGAGGATTAACCTGTGTGATGATTTTAACTRTGTCTTATGTTTTAAATGTAATGAAAAAAACCTGTCCAATTCCCGCTAACAATTTTTTTTTTGTGATGTACCAGATATTGACGAATGTGAGACTGGTACTCATAACTGCCCCCCCGATTTTATCTGTCAGAATACTCCAGGATCTTTCCGCTGCCGACCCAAGCTACAGTGCATGAGTGGGTTTATACAAGATGCTCTAGGCAACTGTATTGGTAAGGCTTGCTCTCATCTTGGGGAATGCTCAGCTGGGAGATAAGCTGGGGTTTCATTGGGTCWGTTCTGAGCTGCACAAGCCATTCTTCATCTGTGTGTGCATTGCTCTGTTCTTGGTCCCATAGCTCAGAGTGACAGAAGAAAGCTATTTAARCAAAAGACTGAAATGCTAGACTGGTATTTTAAAGTGGATTGGGTTACCCAAGGCATTTAGCTGCTGAAGTCTTTGGGTGTTTTAATTTGTTAAAAAATTGTGATCTGTTTTATCCAACTCCATCTAAAAGGTTTTAGCCRAAGCTTAGTGTAGAAAGCTGTGGTTGTGACATCCTCTGCAGCACCCTTTGATGTYAGTGTGCTCAGTTTTACAGTTTTACTGCTCACCATGTTACAGCCCTCCAAGAGGGGTAATTTTACTGTGTATGAGAAGGATGGGACAGTTTTAACACTGTGGAGAGCTTTTCTTTAAAGACCAATGACAATCTTGTCAGCCCAATATCCTGAATATCTTGTCAGGCGTTGTTTCCAAGACTCCCCAAAGCCAGAATTATAACCTTCATATAAGTACAKTAGAATTACTGGTTTCCAGCAGACTCTGGATTTGTCTAATGTGAYCTATAAATCTATCAGTTGTTCCCTTGAGTATTATTTTTAACTCTAAATTCCCCCATGGGCGTAGTGAGTCTCGGACTTGTGGAACTGGCCGGGCAGCAGCAGCGGCTGCCAAGTTGAGCTCAATATCATCGCCTCGTTCTCCTGACCATATCATACCCCKTAGTGCTGAAATCTGACACTGGGAGCAGGCTAGAAAACAAAACTGCAGCCTTCAAAAGGAGGGTGGCCAGTGCCTGTGCACAGCCAGCCCTTCGAGGATGCATTTCTGCAGCTCGTGTGAACTCGCTGTCAYGGACACCGCTGAACTCACATCAGTTTGCAGCAGCCCGTAAAATGCATTTGCTCAAAATATTTACCAAAATGATTTCACAGCTAACTTTGCASTCTGGGAATCAAATGCTGCCCCGTGTGGTGTCAAGGGGATTTTGTTGTCAGATTTGTGATTTATCATTGTGCAGAAGCCAGAGCTAGATCTGAACCCCCAGACTGAAGCAGAACGGGTTGRGCTGGTGAACTGAATTGTTGATGAGCTCTTTGTGTGTTTAGGGGAGGCTTTTAATGGCTTTGAAACACATAAAAGTTCTGTACCAAATTTTCASTGCTTTTCAGTGGGATCTGTGGCTTTCATACCTCTCCAGTCTTCACTCTGCATTTTATCAGTGAAGCTAAATGTCGTGAATAGTTGTATTTTCCCAGGGGCAGAACTTTCCCCTGAAGGGTTACACAATGAGAGCATCTCACCTCAAACTTCTTGAGACCAGGAGCACTCACACTGATTTATGCTCTTGTAGATATCAATGAGTGCCTGAGCACCAACATGCCATGCCCAACTGGGCAGATTTGCATCAACACCGATGGCTCCTTYACCTGCCAGAGGATCTCACCCAGCTGTGGCCGAGGGTATCATCTCAATGAAGATGGAACAAGATGCGTAGGTGAGTGACAGTGGCAAGAAAAAACAGTTTCAAGGAAATAACTCACATATATAATTTATGTTTACTGGTTTCTTGGTGCTTTCCCCAGGTTCTTTTCATTCCCGCAGTCAATTCTTGATCCTGTTCTGTCCCAGCAAGAGAAAAATGACAAGCGTCCACTTTCTGTCCTTCATATAACATGAAACCCTATRTTTTGAGAAGTAATGATTATCAGCCCCCATAAATGTGTTGGCTGTCAATGGTGTGTCAATGGAACAATGCTAARTGTTCCCAAATCTCCTTAGTACAGAAATAAAACACTTAAGGTCAACTTAATGTCCCACAGAAGCCATTTGACACAGGTGCTTTTGGCTGGCTTTTAATCGAGGTGATTTTTGTAKAGAGTTGTTTTCTATTTTTGTAAGTGGCTTATCAAAGCACCGCTGATGACTGTGGATCTCAGATATCTTACACTGGATGTAGATCCATGTATGGATAATAAAAATAATTTTGCACTTGAATTCCTCCAAAGATTGCCTAATTAYCTGATCAAGTCCATCAGCATTAAGGACACCTCACAGCTAACCTSCTTTGGTATGAATGGTTTGGGTTTGTGACTCCGATCTGCTTGTAAAAACGAAAAGCCTGATAAAATCTTGCTTTCTAACATGTTGCTCCTCTGTCAGCCTGCACGCTCAGAAGTGCCCTTTGAATCCCTTTTTGTTTCAGATGTGGATGAGTGCTCATCCCCTAACCAGCCCTGTGGGGAAGGACACRTTTGTATCAATGCCCCGGGCAATTACCGCTGCGAGTGCAAAGCTGGCTACACTTTTGATGTCATCAGTAGGACGTGTATTGGTGAGTCACACCTATCAACCTCAAAATGTGCAGCCATGGCACTTAAAAAATGATCCTGTGTRAAGAATGTTACTGCTTTCTGTATGCCCTCTGCCTTCTGAATGTAGAATTGACTGCTATATTATTTGGATGAGTCTAAAACTGTATTAAAGCATGGCTGATGCTTCAAAGAAAGCTGTATTAGTATTGTCAACATGTTATCAGCTATCCTGTTAAAGGGTGAGGTTGTGAGASCGTGTGCAATTGTTTTCTGTGATATTTTTACAAGCACCTGCAGCAAAACATTCCTTTTGAAGATCAAAGCAACTTTCTTCTGCATAGATCTAATCCGGCTGTGCGCCAGGGTGCTTCTAGATGAGCATTTTGAGKACTTCTCTCTCTAGTATGAAATTTRAATCTGGGAAATGACAATGAAACTTTTACGACCATATTCTCTGTGTGCTCCTTACTGCAGATATCAACGAATGCAGGCGCTACCCAGGCCGTCTGTGCGCTCACAAGTGTGAGAACACTCCTGGCTCCTACTACTGCACTTGTACCATGGGATTCAAGCTTTCAGCTGATGGCAGATCATGTGAAGGTACAGCTGTCAGTGCAGAGTGTGAGGAGCAGCTCCTTGCTCTTTTGGCTGTTTTTTATTTTAGCTTTCAAGGCTGCAGTGGGATGRCAGGAGGAATCACTGCTGTGCAGTGTTTTTGATCACATCGATGCTGTTACGCTCAGTCGAGGCCACTGGAGCCCCCACCTGGAATGTATCGCCCTTAGACTGGATCAGGACAGGAGCAAACAGCCTCAGGCTGTGCCAGAGGACAGTCAGGTTGAACATCAGGAGGAATTTCTTCACTGAAAGTGTGGTCGGACATTGGCAGGGGCTGCCCAGGGAGGTTTGGAGTCCACATCCCTGGAGGTGCCCAAGGAATGACTGGAGGTGGCACTGAGTGCTCTGGGCTGGGGAACAAGGTGGAGACTGATCACAGGTTGGACTTGATGGCCTTTGAGGCATTTTCCAGCCTGAATGGTTCTGTGATTCTGTGGTGCAGAGGGGGATGGGTCTGCATTTCCTACACTTTGAAGGGTGATTCGACTCCATCACGTATCAGCCTTGCTGATATCCAGACACAAAAATGTAAGTGTTGGCCTAAAGATTTCCTCCCAGTCTCACTCCTTGGAGCACAGTAGGAAATAACAGCACAGTGCAGATGAACTTTACAGCCAGAGACAGTAAAGAGTAACACACTCAGAGCCCCCATTTCCAGGTTACTCAGTGACSTGCATGCCATCCTTTTTTAATTTWAAGAARCTACCTTCCAAAGCGTTGTCTTRTTCCAGTGCTAGGAGTGATMAACACAGCAAGAAATTTGAGGTTCAGGAGTGTAACTTTGCCTTTCAGATTTGAAYGAGTGTGAGAGCAACCCCTGTAGCCAAGAGTGTGCCAACGTGTACGGCTCTTACCAGTGCTACTGCCGCCGTGGCTTCCAGCTCAGCGACATCGATGGCATCTCATGTGAAGGTGAGCCCTGGGCTGCTGTGGACAGAGGGTGGATGGGCAAATATGGYCAATTCACTGTCATTCTTTCATTTTAACATTCCAGTCTCTTCGGTATTTTCTTTTGAATTTGTGTTTAATGAAGGTCTCCCACCCATGTCCTTCTCTAGATGTCACCACCATCTCTGTGGTGTCAGTTTTGCTGTTCAYGCTAAACTGTGGCTCGGTGTGCTTTTGTAGCTTGGCAGAAATTTGGTTTTTTTTCCTGAGGAACTACTGGAATTTCTAGCCTTCAGCAAGTGGAGATATGAGCATGTTTATATGTTACATATGTAATATACGACATTACTGGGTAGTGTTTTATATATCCTTTTTTTTTTTTTTTTTTTTTTTTTTTTTTTTTTTTTTTTTTTTTTTTTTTTTTTTTTTTTTTTTTTTTTTTTTGGCTGGTTCTGAACTAATGTATTCTCAAAGGGGGGTGTGGGTGTCACCGTGTGGACAAGATCCTGAATTCGGACTTAGGTCTACAGGGCTTAGTAGACATTGAGGCCTTGGGCAGAACACCTCATTTTGATTATTTTTTTTTTTATTAAAACAAGGATAAAATATTCCTCTCCCTCTCTTTTGTAAAGCACTACAATACACATCACTGTAAATGCTTGCTGTCATTGTCTCTTGGTGCTCTCATACAGCTTTTCATTTTCTTCAGAGTTCCATTTATTCCTGAAAATTTTTGTCATTTAGATATTATTGGCTAGAGCCACACCTATCTGATGACTTCCTTCATTGCCCAGAAATTAGAATCATCACATCGTATTTGAAGCTCACATCAGGGGTGAGCTGTATGTGTACACTGGGTTTAATGCCATGAACTCACAGTAAATTAGTGTGTTTTTTTTTTTTTTCTTGCAGATATTGATGAATGTGCTTTGCCTACTGGAGGGCACATCTGCTCTTTTCGGTGTATTAACATTCCTGGGAGCTTCCAGTGCACTTGTCCCTCCACTGGGTACAGGCTGGCACCCAATGCACGCAACTGCCAAGGTGAGTTCAAAAACTTTAGGGTCTGAAACCAGAMCTCACTGGACTGGGTATTTCTGACAAGTTCTGGCAGGTTTTGTATTTAAAARATGCCTTTCCTACAACGTTATAGGTAAAGCAGTAAACATAAGCTCGACATCTGAAAAAAACCAGTCTTTTATAATAAATACACAGAAATTTTCTGTTATTAAGTAATTCAGTAGAGAATATTTTTTAAAACATTATTAAATGATGGTATAAAATTCTTACAAGAAGGATTCTAATGATTAGATTCTATGAGTTTGTTTAGCCATTAAAGGAAATATCATGCAAGTATTTGGGTCTTGTCCACTTAGTGGCACTGCTGCTCTTCCTTTTCTTCTTCTTCTCACCGGTTGGTTGGGTTAATTTCCTTCATTTTTGTTCTGTATTWTCCAAAAAGATCCTGTCATTGTCTGACACCTGCAACAGAGGAAAAGCCTGTGTTTAATGCCCTCCCTGTCTCCTTTTGGCAGATATTGATGAGTGTGTTGCAGAAAGCCACAACTGCTCGTTCAATGAGACCTGCTTTAACATCCAGGGCGGCTTCCGCTGCCTGTCCCTGGAGTGCCCGGAGAATTACCGCAAGTCYGGAGACACGTAAGTGCCTTCCTCCTCTTTGGTTTGACCAGTTTGCACCACATTTTTGGTGACATGATCTCCTCATGATGTCCTGCTGGCTGAACACAGAGAGGTTTCTAGCAAAAGTGTGTTGTGTTGGCAGGCCCAGCTTGTTTTTCACACACAGGTCTTCTCCTTCTCCTTCTCCTTCTCCTTCTCCTTCTCCTTCTCCTTCTCCTTCTCCTTCTCCTTCTCCTTCTCCTTCTCCTTCTCCTTCTCCTTCTNCTTCTCCTTCTCCTTCTCCTTCTCCTTCTCCTTCTCCTTCTCCTTCTCCTTCTCCTTCTCCTTCTCCTTCTCCTTCTCCTTCTCCTTCTCCTTCTTTCTCCTTCTCCTTCTCCTCTTTTGAAGGAAAAGACACTCCCTTAGGAAATTCCACGTGTCAGTGGTTTGCACCATAATCCCCAGAGCCACACTCTCTCTGTCTCTGGCTCCTTTGCAGGCAGCCTGTTAGGAGGGCTGCATTCACTTTTTAAAATCCTTGGCTTTTATTTCAGGATCACACATTGTCTTTCCTTACTACCACACTTCAACCAAAGGGATCTTTTTAYCTCCCCCTCTGAGTTCTTACCAGTGCTGTTGCAGAACATTGCAAAAATTTTAGTACAATTTCATTGAATCATAGAACATTCAGKGTTAGAAGGGACCTTTAAAAAAAAAGATCATCTTGTCCCAGCCCTCTCTGCAGGGACACATCCCAYTGGACCAGTTTGGTGAAAGCCAAACTCCAACCTGGCCTTGAGCACTGCCAGGGTTGGGGCATCCACCTCCCCAGGTAACSTGTTCCAGTGTCTCCCCAYCCTCATAGTAAAGCATTTCTTACTCATCTTACGGAAATTTGCCCACTTTCTATGTTTTTCACAGAAACCCAAATTTTTTAAAATTTTCACCTGTATTAGATAACCTGGGAATCCTAGCAAGGGTAGCATGTTAGCTGCAGCTCATAATTGTGTCTCTAACCYGGTTCAGAGACAGTGTGTGCATTCTGGTGTAGAAAACAGGAGGCAGCTCTGGAGGAAGTGCAGCTGRCATCTCTTTCATACCCATCAAACGGTGCCAGCAGAACAGAGAAGCGTTGCACACTCTCACTTTTGTAGCTGGGCTTTGTGGCAGATTCAKGTGATGCTTTTCCTCCTGCCCCATGGTTTTCTGGCCACCCTGCACTCCAGCAATCCTTCCAAAGGCTGTTTCCTGGTGCCCCTGTGTGCCCTGAGCTCAGGTAAGTGTGTGTTCCACCAGCCAGGGAGGAAAGCTGACAAATCATAATTGCTATTAGCCCACTATTGCTTTTCCCAGTCATTGCTGGCCACCATCTGTTGGATAAAATGGAATATTCTGTGCCTCCTCTGTAGAATGAAACCAACCCTGATCCTCATCTCAGGGATTTTGGGGGGATTGGTTAGTTTGTGTTTGAGCCTTATACTCTGAAATGCCATATAGGTGACATAGATGTGTTTGATCAGAATGCTGGAGAGGAAGTTCATGGTGTAAACCCAGCTATTTATAAAATATGCTTGTGTTGTGGGAGGTGTAACAGGAATTAAATTTTAAATTAAATTCGTCACATCAGTGACCAAGCAGCGCCTCATGATGCAGGTGTTCTCTTTATCTGTAATACTGTGGATTCATYTGTACCCTAATTTTWAAAAAAATTAAATATTTAAAGAATTAGCAGATTTCTACTCTTATGAACTTGCCTGCATTGCAGAGTTCAATTTATAAAATACACGTCGTACACATCCATTCCATCTGATCTTCTCTCTTACCTGTATTTGACTTCAATGGCTATTTGAGCAATATGGGATCTTTTGGGATAACAGTAGAATGTCTGAATTGTTTTTCTGTGTCTGGGTTGTTGGGCTCTGTAATGGCTTTCTCTGCTTAATTTAAACCTGCTCATGGGGCGAGATCCTTACAGTGTTCGGGCTGTAATTAGTCCACGAGTCAGACACAAATCCTGCAGCAGCTCAGTGAAATTCTAATTATTTTAGTTCCTTGAGTCACTACTTTGCTGGATTTATTAGGTTTCCCTCTCCCCAGCTGCAGACAGTTGCTGAATGTTTTATTGACAGCACGTTTGTGTGAAGCAGAGAGGATGTGAGTTCATTATTGTGACTTGTCAGGTAATCTCTGGTGTAATCTTTCCCAAAGACAGCAAAATGCCTGGCCTGGTCTGGTCTTAATGGTCACAGTTTTATTGTAGGCTTTATCTCTTTTATAAGAGATATAATTAAAATTCTTAAGTTCTTAACTTAAATTCTGCTTTTTTTTTTTTTTGTTTTTCATTGATCAGTCCGTAGGCTTGGTATTTTTCCAGGATAGTTAAGATCTACTGCTCCTTATAATAGAACTTAACTKGCTGTACTGCCTTGCCAAACAGTTTTTGTTTTCAAATAGCATAACAATTAACTTCTCTTTATATGGCACTGAAGTGTAACATTTGTAATATTTAAGCCAAGGAAAACAGTAGAAAAGATAAAGAAGCATTTATGGCAACGTGTCAGAAATGAGTGCTGCTTTGAGCCAAATTGAGAACTATTTGTATATTCTCGACATGTCTGTGTATTATTAAGGTTGCCTGGTGCTYATAATTATTAGGATCTGTTTTTAACTCCTTAAAATTTTGTTGGTTTGTGTGTTTTAGGGACATTTTGGTGATTTAAAAACCAAATATTTTAACAGTTTGCTGCCGTGTTATGGAGCAGAAATCTGAAATGTGTTAGGAAATCGCTTTTGTGCTTTTTGTCATCCTTGCCAAATTCCTCAAAAATGGAACTTTGGAGATTACAAACTTTGTAAAATTGCATTCAGCCTTTTTTTTTCATAAACCTTAGGAAACAAAGACCTTGATGGATAAACCTAATCCACTCCTCTATGCCAAAATAGGCCCAGATGTACCTGGAACACAGGGAATTGTTGTGTACCATTCAACTCCTTTGAGCACAATAAGGTGAAAACCTGACTCAAAAATTACTGTGAGGGAAAGTAAAAAATATTTTTTCTCCTCATTTTTCCCTTACAAAATGTTATGTTTATTTACAAATGAAATCCCTCTAGTTTTGGTAGTTTTCTTCTATCAGTTACCAGTGTTTGGTACATGAAATTAAAACTGGGAGTAATTTTAGCTCCTAGCCCCAGGCACATCTATCTTCACAAGTAACTTTCTGAATCAGCAGAAYGTCCTTTTCCAAATCTTCGAAAGCTGGGAGCTTTGTTTTTTGTTCTCTGGTTGTAATTTTAAAATGTATTTTACCATTATAAAATAGTAAGGAAGAGCATCTTTATGAGAGTGTAAGTGCTCATAAGCAYGTTCATGCTTCTAAGGAGTTGTACTTGCAGAAAACATTTCCAGCTAAGGAATTAACTGTCTCAACTTGCTCCACGATTTCAACAATACCGAGTCATTCTCYTTAGTGGAATTATTAATGACATTTCAGAAAAGAATGCAGAACTCCCCATACCTGAAAATATTTCAAGAGTATCCACACCTAATTAGCTGGCCATCCTGTGAGGACTTGTGCATGATCTTTGAACACATGAATAAAACTGAGARTGCCTTTAAATCTTCAAAGAATTGCTTTGTACCTTCATTTGCAAGTAGTATTAAAAGAAAACATGCAATGCATTAATTGAAGAACAGAGGGTACTTTTAATTAGACTTTCTGAAAGTGCTGATTTTGCATATAATGAGAAGTTCCTGGAATTCAGATCACTGTGCACTGGCAACARTGTGGGGCTTGCTTATGAGCCACAGTTCTGCTGGTAGCAGAAACTCCTGGTAGGAGCTCAAATTTGTGTCAAAATAAAATAATGAAATGGACACYCAGATTTACTTGAGGTGGTAAGGAGCAAACCGTGCCTTTATGCTGGAGCATTTCTTGGTAAAAAACCAAATTGTTTGGGTTCCAAAACTTCAATATTGCTTGGAGGGGAAGATTCTTGCACATAATGTARTTGATTTGTAGTTTTGAGCACATTTTGAGCTGAATGTTCAACTTGATCATCACCAAACGTTGCAAAGTTCATCATCCAGCTGAGATCATCGTTGTCTGCCTTCACTTCCACACAGCTGCCTGGAAGGTTTGGATGCCTGAGTGGGGATTTGGGCAGATTTAATCTGAAATGCACACAAAGGTACCCAGTRTGCAATCCTTTGAGCACCTCTCAAGGTGCCATGAATTGTCAGATCTTCATTAAAGTGCTGGCAAAGCACAGTGCTCTGGAACAGCMGGGACTCGGCTGCCCAGAGCTGTCCCCCATGTTTTACTGGACAAAATTCACTTCTCTCAGGAGCAGAATCCATGAAGCCCTGACTCCTAGTGTGGAGGTTTGTTCCCTTCCAGCCTGTGTGGGTGATCTCTTGCTGGTGCTCTGGATATTTCACTGTGACACTGCACTAAGGGAACGAGAGAGCAGAGGGCAAATTCCTCTGCCACCAGAATCATTCCTGTGACTGGGGGCTGGGTAAGAGTGCAGTGAATGTGTAGGACACGTGCTGGGGACATCAGGCTATTGGATCTTGTTTTCAGGGCTTGCCTGGATGGATGTTAGGCTGATTCTCCTGGTAGCACAAAGGAATGCTGTGCCAAATCAGTAGGAAATGTTTGTCTTCAGAGTGCAACTCCTTGGGCGTTYGTGATTTTCAGAACACTTTASTGTCTTAAAATACAGCCAGACATCSCAGGCAGGACACAGTCACCTCCCTAACCACGTAGAATCTCTTCCTTTACTCAACACRTGTCCAACCAGCCAAAGAATAGAACTTGGAGGGGAAAAAAGCGRCGACAATGGCAGCGCTTCTCCCAAAGCTCCCGGCAGGGAATTCCATCCTCACTGAATTCGTGTCCCTGTGCAGTTTGAGTGAGGTGCTGGGCTGAAGGATGGATGCAGGGTGCAATYCAGCCTGTCCTTTCCCACCCCACCACCCTCCTCTCCCACTGGCTGAACGTGCTCTAATCCTCCTCTTGTCTTGTGTTCTCGCTTTTCTTGCAGTCGCTGTGAGCGCTTGCCTTGTAATGAGAATAAGGAGTGCCAGAGGCTGCCCCTGAGAATAACCTCCTATCACCTCTCTTTCCCCACCAACATCCAAGTACCCACCGACATTTTCCGCATGGGCCCTTCCAATGCTGTCCCTGGGGATAAAATCCAGCTGTCCATCATCAGCGGGAACCAGGAGGGGTTTTTCACCACAAAAAAAGTGAACAACCACAGTGGCCTTGTGGTCATGCAGCGTCAAATCACAGAGCCCAGAGATCTTCTCCTGACAATTCAAATGCAGCTTTCCCGCCACGGAACTGTCGACACTTTTATCGCCAAACTTTTTATCTTTGTCTCTGCACAGCTTTGATCCCTAACTTACAGTCATCATTGGCTGCTCTTTCTCTTTTAAAAGTAGCTTTTCCCCCTCCCCAATTTCAATAAAGTTTTAGTTCATCTGTTGCATGCTGCTCTTGCATTTTATTTGCCATCACCRTTACAGTTCTCCACTTTCCCCTATAACTGAGCATCTTAATTCAGGGAGATTCTTCTGTGTACTCTGCATCATTACACAAAGTAGAAGTTGGTGTCGAAGAGTTCATTACCTGAACATACTGAGGATGAAAACTTTTAATTTACTGCACACAGATGACAGGGGAGTCAGCTGATCATACACAGTTGCATATGTTTAGGTCTGTATTTTCCAAAGGGAATAGGTAYGTATTTGGAGCTGTTGCAACTGAGGYATCTCTAGAAAATTTCATMACTTGGGGGGAAAATAATGTGCATWTTCTAAAAATCTGTGAAAAGGGCATGATTTGGTCCCTTGGGACCCGTGAGGTGCCCCAGGACACGTGTCACTATAAAAGTGTGCAGCCAGATTGCCAAGCTATCCTCGTTATTGTTGCTCTGTTGTATCCCCTGAGCTTGTGCTGATTTCCACCAAGCACTGATCGCAGTTCTACCTTCTAAGGAAGGGATAAAAAATGATCTCCTCTAAAGAACATTTATTTGAGAGATGTTTCTTCTTGCTTTCCACGGAATTKTTGCTGAATGGAAAAACCAATGACAGCAGAACAGCAATCAACCTCGCAAGAGATTCAGCCAAGAGCAGAGAACTCCTTTCTGTTTCACAGGCTGTGTCCAGAAACATTGCCCTCCACAAGAACATTTGAAAATTGAGTCCCATGTTTAAACACTGAGAGCACAAACCCGTGCTCCTTGAGATAATGAGGTTTATTACTGCCACAAAAAGTGCTTGTGTGCAAATACCCTCTGGCTACCAGGTCGTTACGAGGCCATAATGAAGCAGGATAAAGATTCAAAAACAAACTTCATTACTGCAAGCATTAATATATCTGAGTTTGGCAGGAAAGAAGGGAGTTTCCCCAGTGATGCAAAATGCTGTCACATCAATTGCATTCAGGAAGGAATTTAAGAGCACAAGGCTCACGTTGCCCTGTGTAGGTGTTTTGGTGCTGCAGTGGCACTGAGACGTTCAGGAGCACATGTCTGTTTATATGTGTGGTTCTTTCCAGATGGAAATGAAATCACAGCTCCCGTAAGAACAGAGAAYTTACTGAGCAAATCTAACAGAGAATATGACAAGGAATCACACCAGAACCCTAGAAGAAAACAAAAATTATACTTAGGAATTACTCAGACCAACTAAGGCRTTTCATATCTTCCTTTAAATGAAAAAGCCTAGGGGAAGGACCAGCTCCAAAGCTGAAATTCGTGCCAGAGGCAGAAAACTTGAGGGAAAAGTTCAAATAAAAATGTTCTCAGCACCAAGGGAGAAATATTTGTCAGTCACAGTCTCCACAGGAGAACATGAGCAAAGAGGAAAACACGGGCTGATCAGAAGATGAAATGTAAAGATGATGTGTAAGGATAAAATAATGAAATATTATGAGAACAGAGAGTGTCATTTATAGCAAATAACAGGGTTTGAAACTGATGTTAGTTGTCAAAGAAGTTACTCCAGTTTGGAGATGTCCAAAAAACAAAGCAGTGAGAGAACAAASTGCTATTGGCTGCACTTTGGATATGCTGGCATGAGGAAGTTAGGGAAAAGAAAAGGAAGAGAGTGAGTATAATAAAAGAACAAATTCTAGTTTAACAATGTAGACAGAATATGAAAAAAAAAAATAGTGGGATTTGTAAGAGGAAAGACAGAAGGTGCCAAGAAATAGAGTTGACACAGACATTTATCTGTCACACGTGTGGTTATGAGCAGGAGGGATCCAGAAACTCAGCTTAAATGAGAACTARCACAAATCACTTGTGACCACTGAAATCCTCTGATCTGTACCAAAGTCATGTCAGAAGGGTTTATTCCACAGGTGAGAATCATGAATGTAAGTTTTAATTGGGACTTCATCGTGGCTTCACTGGCTAAGAATTCCAGAAATATTCCTATTGGCCCTATTTTGTTCCAGCTGAAGTCAAGAGAAAAGCTCCCACTTATTCCCAGGAAGGAGCAAAGGCAGATCAMTACTGAATGCCTCAGGCACTCTCACCACAGTATTTTTTTGCCTACAAATTCTATTATCTAAAAACAGCAATGGAAATTTAGGGTTTTCTGTGTATTCTAACAGTACTTCATCAATAACAGTGTCCCAAAATAAGCTGCTGTGCAAGCTACTGTTTACTGGTCTCCCTAAAACCTTTAGAAGGTGCAATAATTATGATTGTTGGAGGAAAGGAGAAAAGCTTTAAAAGGCATTTTTCAGAATTTATAAACACCTTTTTGGAAGTAAAACTAGTGAGGCTTGGCTGTTGTAAGCTCAGCCCAGCAGGATTCTGAGGAAAGGTGCAGTGATTTTATATAGCTGTACGTGCATTAATGTCTACTGAATTCCTTTCTACACAGTGAGGAAAATAAAAGGGGGAGAGGGAAACAAACCTGAGTGATATTCATTGGGCATCCATTGTGTTCATTCCATATTTTGAACTTTACACTGGAACTGGACGATGTAATTGAGCTGATCCTTATTTCACAGACAYGAGGATCAGCCATCTGGAAGTTCCTTCTTAATTTGGCAGCTGACATTTAGAATAATGGAATTTAATCCTTGTCACAGGTCAGATTTGTATCTGTATATCCAAAGTTTATTGACCATCAGGAGGTATTTTGGCAGAGAAGGCTCTGCTCTGTCCCTGTGAGGGATCTGGGAAATGACAAGATTTGTACCAGATAATGGTAGGAGATAAAAGCTCTGTTCTGGGTTGTGTCTCCTGGCCAAACTCAAAGCACCAAAGGTTCAGRGTGTGAGTACCAGGCTCAGCTGATGTTTATGAACTCAGCTCTGCTGCCTCCCCTGGACTGTGCCAGCTCACATCTGTTGGAGCGTGAGTTCCTTGGTGTTTAATCTTTTTTTTTTTTTTCTCCTTATTTTAGCTTCATACAGTATTAGCAGGTTTGCCTTCATTTTCTTTGATGAGCAGAGGTGGGGAGCACGTAATAAGAATTTACTGTTATATTGATTATTAATAGAGCCATAAAGTCCCTTTGGACATCTGAAAAAAGATGGTTTGTATGTGTGGATAACACTTTTTGAAAAGAGCAAGAGCCATTTCTTTTTAGAGGCATCTAACAAACTAAATCTTTCCCTTTTTGTTTCCCTTTTACTCAGTGATTTTTTTCTCACTTTTAATCATCTAATTCCCCCCATCCCTGACACTGCAGTGTTTTCTTTTTCCACTTAGAAATATGAAGAAATGGGGAGGTCAAAGTTGAGATAATTTGTGGGGCTTAGTCCCATTTTAAGTCCCAGCACAGCCCTTTCATCTCTCAGGARCACAGAGTGGGCATTGTGTGAAGTTCTTGAACTGTAAGTGACTTTAAATTCACTCCAGTGGACAAGGGTGAGAAGTCATTTAACTTTTAATAGACTTTCAAGGCCGAATGAGCAGCTGGTTGAGCTGGAATATGAAATGACCCTTACCATTTCCCCAAAATCTGAATTCAACCTTTGAGGTTTTAAATTATGTGATTAACTTTTTTCCTCCCCTGGTTTCCATTCCTCTCTGTTTTCTCAGTTGTCTCATATGGAAAGGGAAGGTGTGAAAAAAGAGACTTAAAAGAGCCTCCTCTGGCCCTTGTTACATGGAAAATCGTGAAAGTTTGCCCTTCACATATTTATGYCAGATTTATAAAATGGAAACAATTCTGTCTGCTTTGTGTGACTGAGTAAAAAAGGCTGGTGTGGCTCCACTGGAATTSGGAGAGCAGGCAGGTCAGCTGAGGTGTCACTGCTTGGTCCTGKTTGTCCTTGGAAAGGGACATTCCACGGCACCCTGGGCACTGCAGCTCTCTGTTCTCTCATTCCCAGCTTCAGGAACTGTTTGGGGGATGGTTTTGCCTGCAGCTCTGAGCCAAACCCAATTCTTCAGGGCTCCTGAAGTGCAGATGATCTGCATTTGCTGAGTTTTTGAGGTGGACAATCAACACTTACATCAACTGCAGTTTCTAGATCATTACAAAACCCAGAGTAATCACATTACAAAACCCAGRATAACCAATATTCAGTCTGTGTGTGCATCTCTCTCTGCTTTCCCTCAGTGTCAGGCTGGAGAAGACAGACACCATCCGCTGCATCAARTCGTGCCGCCCCAACGATGTCAGCTGCCTGCTGGACCCAGTCCACACCATTTCCCACACTGTCATCTCACTGCCCACCTTCAGGGAGTTCACAAGGCCTGAAGGTCAGTGCTTTGTTCCTTGTTCCCTAAAACATTTCAAATCTCCACTGGAAATCTTTGCCTAAAGCCAGACTTGCCACCGGTGCTGTTGGTTTAATTGAAACCTTCCATATCCAGGAGTTTTCATTTTATGGAGGAAAGGAAGCCATTCTGAGCTCTAACTCCTACTGCTTTCCAATCTCAGAAAATATTGTTTCTGAATTCCCAAGTGCCACATTCACTCACAGCACAGCCACATGTCCCATGACATTTTTAGTTCCCTTGCTTGCAGGTTTTGCCATAGGAAAAAGGTGCTCGATATATTTTTCTCATTTGTGACCAGTTGTTTGCTACTGACAGGTCACTTGTTCCAAGAATAAAAACCATTAATCACAAAATACATTACATTGAATATATGATTGGATTATACAAAACACATTACAAAAATTATAAATTACACAAAATACATTACATTGAGTATATGATCTGTGATTGGCCGATTTTTGACTTATGAACAAAGTGTTGTTTGATACAGATAAAAGGAAGGGAAATTCCAAGGACTGGGCAGAAAGTTTTTAAGGCAAGAACTTCAAAAAGCACCCAYGTTGAGTGGCTGTCCTCTGCAGTATTGAGAGTTTTTAAGTCCTGCAGTCCCATAAGGACCACACTCACTTTCTTAACTCATATAAAAACTCACAGATCAAGAGCTTTTGCTCATTTGTATGAATTTTTATGGAATTTCTGGCAGTGCATCCGTCAGTGGGATGAGTGCCTGCAGCCCTGCTGCTCTCAGCCCCTTACAGCCACAGGGAGAAGGGCAGGGAGGTGAGAAAGGTTATTTTGGAGGGCTTTCTGAAGGTTCTGAATCCCCATTTCGGATGCAGCCAGTGTGTCAGCCTTGCTGTTTCAGAAAGCTGTCCCAAATGCAAGGCAGATGTGG